CTATTATAATAAATCCCACAATAAATATTAGATCAATGAACCAACATAATCAGACAAAAATTCAAACATATGTAAATATTCAGTCATACAATTAATGGTTCAGTTTTACTAACCTAGAATGCAGTGACCCACTTAAGCTGCTTCCTCCCTTTGTTCTTCGTGCTCTTTTTTTTCCTTTCTCCAATGTGATTGCCTGGATGAATACCAAATTCTGAAGGCTTAGAGTTTATTTGTTGTTGTTCTTTGATGTGAAGAACAACTTTAGAAGAGATTTTTTTGTAAACTGTAGATTTTCCAAATGATTGTTGATGGAGGCTTCAGGGTTTCTTTGTTGTTGTTCTTCGATGTGAAGAGCAACAACTTTAGGAAGAACTATAGTGAGTTGTGGATGATTATGAAATTATGAATTAAAAATAGTGTGAAAGAGTGGTCTATTTATAATGATAATTAGGTAAAAAAATTAGGAAAATAAAATTGATTGGCAAATCAATTTTCCTTGGTCACCAAGCTAACCAATCATAAGATGAGTATAACAGAAATTGACATTGATTGACCAATAAAAAGTAATTAAACATAAAAGGAAATATTTTTTGTATTTATTATAATTTTTGCACTTAATTTTTGTAAAACGTACATAAAATCAAATAAATGATTTTTTTTTAAAACGCATTAATTAAAAGTACGAAAATAATATTTAAATAATAAAAAATGGTTTTTTTATGATTTTTTAATATTAATGGAAATAAAATTAGTAACATATAGACAAAAAAATATTCAAAGTGAACCCATTAAGATTCAAACCCATGACCTTATGTTACCAAGTTATACTTCCTTACCAGTTGTGCTATGTTATTTATTTAAAATAAAAAGCCGATTGAAAGTATATGAAGATGATCAACTATTTGCTATTTTAAAAATACAAATAATTTAAAATAAATTATTATATTTTTAAATAGACTCGAAAGCGAATATTTATTAAAACCCTAAAATATTAATGTAATTAAACCAAAGGAATTTTAAAACTCAAGTTCGAAAATAAATTTGACGGTACCACTAAGGTAGACAAATTTGAGGTATGACAGTTTGAGAATATGATTTTTGCTGCAGAGTTTAACTGAAGGTTTAATGTGTAAAGAACAATTGTTATAAATGTTTTGATGACCCGTGTTACGAAGCAAAGCTATGTTGTGTGGTGTATGTTATGAAGTGTGAAACTTTTGAGTGGTGATAATTTATTTAATTAATTATGGGGTTTAGAAGGGTGTTACAAGGGGCAACATAACCTTTATCAAGAAGTGTGATAAATGCCAAAGGCACGCCAATCTACACTATACGTCAACTGATCTTCTCAATTATGAATCAACATATTGGCCATTTTATTAGTGTGGTGTGCGCATTTTGAGTCCATTTTCCCTAGCTCCCGACAAACTAAAATTCCTAGTTGTCGAAGTAGACTACTTCACAAAGTCGATAGAGGAAGAAGATGTGTCCAAGATAACTATAAAGATAGTCCATCATTTTTATTGGCAGGAGATCATGTGCAGGTTTTCTTAACCAAAAATCATTGTCTAAGACAATTGAACTCAACTCGCTAGTGCCATTATAGTCAACTTCTGCAAGGACGTTGGAGCACAAACTAAATTCATATTCGTCATTCACTCACAGGTAAATGGACAACCAGAGTCGGCTATCAAGATAATATTGAAAATGATCAATAATAAATTGGATGAGGCGAAATGTTCGTGGACTGAGCAACTACACAAAGTGCTATGGTGATATCACACTATCCCTAATTCCACCATTGGAAAAACCCCTTTTACATTAGTGTATGAGGTGAATGTAACACCCCATAATTTAGAGTTATTTGTTTAATTGATTATTTGTGATTATCTATGTGATGTATGATGGCATATTGTGGGGTAGTAAGTGGGAATGGAGGTGATAATTAGAATTATTTAGATTTAAATAATTTAGTTTATATTATTTAGATTTATAATAATAATAATAATAATTAAATAGAATATTAAGAGGAAAAAGAGAATAAGGGCATAAGAGTAATTGTGTGTGGGTTAAGTGAGTTCATAAGAGGAAAACCATATAAAAGGATCTAAGGTTAACAAATAAAATAAGAAAAATAGAAATCATTTTGTACGATCGTAAAATTGGGAGAACGTGAAAGAAAAGACTAAGGCTCAGAGGGAGATTTTCGTAGAACGCAAAGGAAGAGGTCAACTGCTAGGAATTCGAGTTAAGAAGTGTAATCGGGTTTATTATGATTGATGTATGGTTAAGGTAGATGTGGGTGTTGTCTCGTATGATAATTTTGATGAAAAGCATGAGAAATACCATGATGTGTTGTGTAATGATGATGTTCATATACCATGATTTAATGTATATGATGTATATAGTGATGTGTTGATTGTTGAATTGTGAAATACCATGATTGCCATGTGGTTTGGGCTGAATTTGGTACGGAAATCAGAATGGGAAAAGGTATGGGCAGAAGCGAAATCGCAACTAAAAGTTGTAGAAATCACGCGTCTCGCGGGTCGAGCCAGAGGCGAGCATGGGGCGAGCGAGTTGCCCCAGCATCTCCGGGCAAGCATTAGGCAGGAGGAGTTTTGGGTCTAGAAAATGTATGAGGAAGGGATTTTGCTAGAGCTTCGTCGAGCGAGTGAAGCAACGATGGTCCCAATCGCTCATTTCTCTGAGTGAGCATTGGGTCAGGGAGAGGTGAATAAAGCGCCACCATGGTCGTTGGGCAAAGGTCAAGCGAGCAGTCTGGCAAGAAACTTAAATATGTTGTGTCTAGAGTTTCGTGACTCCGGTTAATGCGTCATTTAAAGTATTGGGAAGCTAACGCGCAAAGTTATATTATGATAGAATAATATGAGTTATTTGATGTACTATTCTAGTACCTATGTATTTATGAATTTGAATTATTATTTATTTAATATGCAAAGATATTTTATATTAATGATGAACTTGATGTTAACGTAGAGTTGCTATGATGTTGTTGTGATGTAATTGATGTTGTCCGTGATAAATTTTTTATTTTTTTTGCTTTCTACCCGTGATAATGTTTTAATGATATGTATGTGGATATGTATACATGCTATGTAAAGATGATTATGTTATGATTATGTGAATAATGATGCAATTGACTTATCGTGGTCGAATTTATATGACGTTGTTGTGCATCATGCATTCATGATATTTCTGGACGTTGGTCTGCTTATGATGAGCCTCAATCCCATTGTATGGATTGAGTGCGAGTAGATAAATCCTTGTTAGGGATTTAGTAAAGTGTTACTATGGTGAATGACAACGATTTTTATGACGTGCTCTGGTTCCAAGAGGGAATCGATCCTATGGTGGAATCTTTGGAGGGTGATGAATCAGGTGTTCATAAAAAATTGGTATCACGTGCATTGAGTCAGTATTGTTGTGTTAACATTTTATGTGGTATTTACATGAGTTTTGTTGATGAAATGTGATATGATGATATTTGTGAATCATGTATTATATGATAGTTTTTATGACGAAAGATGTATAAGTGCTATTATGACGTGTAGGTGTGAGTATGACTTGTTTTATAAATGATATGTGTTGATATGATGACGATGTTACTACTAATCTTTTCCTTATCTCTTATATAGTGAATCATGATTACTCACACTTTCTAGTTGAATATTGTCTCCACGTGGGTAACACACAGATGCTCAGGAGTAGTTTATAGGAGCGTTGAAGATAGAGTTTTTTTTAGAGTATTTATTAGTTTTTCATTATTTAGAGGTGTCTTGCTCTGATATGTAATATCGGGTCGGGAATGCTTGATTGAATTTTATGTTCCGTTATGTTGGCATATTTTATAAGGATTATTAATGTTGAACTAACTTTAAATCCCAATTTTGATGAAACTAAATATTATAAGCTGACAATTGAGAATATTATTTTGATGATTCTGCTGTGTTGTTTTTAAAGGTGTGTTGATGTTGCATGGAACACCATAAAGGTGTATGTTAGAGGAAGTGGTTATTACCATTGTTGTAACTCGTGTTATGGAGCAAAATTGCTTTATGACGTTTTATATGAAGTATGACACCCTTATATATTGGTTTTTACTTGACTTATTTCATAAAATATATAAAAAATACATGTGGAGTTAGAAGGGTGTGGCGGACACCATGCCATCGGTCAAAATCGACACACCAACATGACGAAGTTCTCATTTCAACGAAGATGAAAATGAGAAAAAACTTAGATGAAATGTCAACCTAATGGCCGAAATGAGATATATCGCACACATCCAAGAGCTCACTACTAAACAACTTACGCTCATGAGATACAACTCCAAAATAATTCGAAGATAGATACAAAAAGACAATTTAATGTTACGATAAGTCGTGTATACCCATAAGAAAAAACTACAACCTGAGAAGGGATATATAACTACTATTTTTATGTTTAAATATAAACTGTTTTAAAGTTTTTATAAAATAATTGTAAAACACATTAATTATTTTTCTTTCAAATTATCATCAGCACTCTTATTCAAATATTAATTATTTTAGAACCGATTTAATTAAGATAATTTCTATATTTTATAATTTAATAAAATTATATAAAATTTGTAGTAGATAATGCAACAGTTAGGAATCAAATAGACAAAAAGCCAACAGTGCTTTATCTGTCTCATTCTCCCACTCACACACTCATGTATCACCTAAGTAGCATATCAACTTGCATCTTCTAGTAAAAAGGGCAAATTAGTAAAACAAAAACAAACTCAAAACCACAACAAATACAGAAATCATCATTATCAATATCAATCAATATCAACAACGCACACAAAACACACCGAATCAAATTCAACGATCCACCCTCATTTTTCTTCTTTTTTTCTTTTCTTTCTTTCTTCTTAGCTTCAAATTCATCATCATAATTTGTTTTCTGATTAACCAGATTCGGATTCATAATTCATTCTAATTTTAATAATTATGAATTTCATTGACCGATTCAATTCCATTGACTTTCCTCATGAATCTTACCCTGTTTACGAAGATTTCTACTTCCTCCCTCTCTTCTTTCTCTTCTTCCCTTCCATTCGCTTCCTTCTCGACAGATTCATCTTCGAGGTATTCGCTTTATCCCTAATTACCTAATTATCTATTCTTTTCATCTAGGTATATTTCTTTTTTTCGTCATAGTTTCCGACACTTTTTTTCTTTTTTATTCACTTTATTCACTTTATTCACCTGATTCTGAGTTTGTGTGATTATCAATTTGCTGTAAAATGAGAGTCTTGTAGGAAATTGAGGTGAATTTATTTATATTTTTTTTTTTAAGTTTTGGGGCATTTATGATACCTTTTTCTATCATTTAAAGGGTTGTTATTATAGCAGCTTCACTTTTTTTTATTTTATGTATCTATCTATCTATGTATACACATTTGAGTACTATGGGAACCTCTTTAATGTCACTGTACCTACCTTCTGCATTTACACAGTTTTGCCTCTCTTTATTTATTTTTTTATTTTATTTTTATAATGCAGCAAGTATTTACTATTTTTCAGCTTCAAATTTTAAATGCAATGAGCTTCAATTTTTTTTTTTTTTTGGGTTATGTTTTATTTAAGTCTTCTGGGTAATAAAAAAAGTGATATTTAGGATTTCAATTTTGGAGTATTGGTTTGCTTTGTTATTGAACTTTTATGATGTCTAAATTATTACCTTTTTGTTGGGTATTGTCAAGCTGAAATGAATGAAATTTTTGCAGAAAGTGGCGAGAAGATTGATTTTTGGAAAGGGGAACAAAATGTTGGATTACCAGACGGAGGATAGAAGAAAGAGGATTAATAAATTTAAGGAATCGGCGTGGAAATGTATTTATTATCTCTCGGCGGAGATTCTTGCTCTGTATGTAACTTATGATGAGCCTTGGTTTACCAATACGAGATATTTTTGGATAGGGCCTGGGAATCAGGTTTGGCCAGATCAAAAGATTAAGTAAGCTTGTTTCTTTATATGTCTAAATAATTGTGGTGATTCTGCTGCAATGCTAGTCTATAATTTGTTATTGTATTTCCTTTATATGAGTTTTATATTAAAGTTAAGCTTGTTGATAGAGTCGTGACTTTCTAACGTTTCAGGTTGAAGTTGAAGGCAGTCTATATGTATACTGCTGGATTTTATTCATACTCCATTTTTGCTTTAATATTTTGGGAAACAAGGCGTTCTGACTTTGGGGTTTCCATGAGTCATCATGTTGCTACTTTCATGCTCATTGTGTTGTCTTACATTTGTAGGTATGTTTTTCATTGACTTCAGTATGTCTTGTCATCCAAGTTTTTCTGTGAAATTTGATTTGAATATGTTTTGCTTTGATAGTTTTCTATTACAGACTTCTGTTTCTTTTCTATGTTTAATACATTCAGGTTTGCTCGTGTTGGATCAGTTGTTTTAGCAATTCATGATGCTAGTGATGTGTTTCTTGAGATAGGAAAAATGTCCAAATACAGTGGTGCTGAAGCAACGGCTAGCACTGCATTTATTCTTTTTGTTTTATCTTGGGTCATATTGCGCCTCATTTACTACCCATTCTGGATTCTTTGGAGTACAAGGTTAGTAGTATTAGCTCATTTCCCCATTTACGTTTTTTTTCTTCTTCTGCTTTCTATTATATTTTCTGGTCCTCGCCTAGTTATCATGTGGATTCTTCTCTTCGTCAATAAATATATGACCTCCCTACATATACTTAATGAAAGTTAAAAAGATTAGTGTTATACATTCCGAAAGGATTGGTGACCCCTGTTTCCCTTCAGATTCAAGTTGTCATCTTTTGAAAAGATTTACATATTGGTTATCTGTTACTGTATATTAGTGTCCTTATCACAAATCAACTCAGAGAACCTTATTACTATTAGTGGTTTACATTATGTATTAGGTTACAACAATGGTTCAGTGTCTGGTAGTTTTGTAGAGCAGTTACGGTATTCATCGATCTCAAATTATGCATATGCTTTATTATGAGCAAAAATAGATACCTGGTGAAAACTCAATGTTGCAAATTGTGGTTAGCAGAAAATAGCAGATTGTTACAATTCTGTTATGCAATACTGTTATAGTGTCACTATATTACAATATTTTATGCTAACTAGTGTATTGTGGAACAATAGCGGTTTGTCCAAACACCGCTACACTATACTGGTGTAGTGCTGCTAGCGTCTAGTTAATGACATTGTATAAACTTTAACCAATAATGCATTAAGTACCTGAAAGAAAATAGTTAATGTTTTAGGAAAAACTTTGAAGCCGTTTTATTGGTATGGTTAGTTTCACTATAGGTTTTTTTATCAATTCTTGACGTATGTACGTCCCATGGAGATTCTCATTTGAACTACTTAAGAGTTTGGAAAAATCTACTGGGGTAATGTAATGTGAATATACTAAACGAGAATGGATTCTCTCATGTGAGATTTTCACTTAATTAGCTCATGGTGAAAATTGTGTGCCTATCTTTCCGTAAATATTCATAAATTTTGGTTCAGGCTTACCTAATTAATGTTTGAGAAGAGATAAATGCATAATTTTCTTATGATAAGTTTTGTTAGCCATGACATACATAAAAAGTTAAGGAAACAGAGTTGCATGTGGATGCATCATTAGGTTTACATCTGCATCATTGCATTATTATTTTTATATTTCTTTCCTGCATCTGCTAGAGTTGTCTCCAGAATTTCAAATTTTGAGTGTAAAGGGCCTCAGGACTTATCGATGGGGACATAATAGCCTGCTCAATTGGTTTGATTGGTTGATCCCATAGTCCTAATGGAGTAATGGTGTCTTTTCTATATAACATTTGCTTTTAAGCCAATTGTTATTGTACTAGGCCCTTTTAGGTTTATTAGAATCCTTCTTATTCTAAAAAAACATGTCAATCAATCCATTCATGCTCTCCTTTTTATACTGTCCATAATTGATTGTTCTTGTTAATCGTTACAACAAAACATGTTAATGTTTGACCTGTGAAAAATCAAGGTAAAGAGGCATATAGGACTGTGGTTAATAGTTTTCGATGTTTTACTTACTATGAGATAGAACTCATCTGAAATCATATGTAAACTTCCGATGTGGTAATGTTAGATGTCTTGTCTGAGCAGAATTATAAAATAAATTTTTTCTTCACAGGAACGTTTCTAAGTAAATCCTGAATCTTATTTTAAGCACAATAAAAAACATGTTTTCGTCAGTCATAATTTTAACAATTCAATATAAGTAGTAATACTAGATCTGTCCCTTGTTCATATATGTATGATATATCATTGTCGGTTCAAGTGTTTTACTTTCTTTTCTTTTTTTCCCAGCTATGAAGTTCTGCTCACCTTGGATAAGGAAAAGCACCAAGTGGATGGTCCAGTATATTATTATATGTTCAATACTCTTCTATTCTGCTTGCTGGTTCTGCATATTTATTGGTGGGTGTTAATATATCGAATGCTTGTCAAACAAATCCAAGCAAGAGGAAAACTTAGCGAAGATGTTCGATCTGGTAAGCTGAATTTGTGCCTGGCTTCCCAATCAAACTTTTGATGAAGTGAGAAAACTTTTGAAAATCATAACCTGTATGCACAGTATTTTACTCCATTTGGCCCTGAAAATCATTGTCTTTTGTTTAATTCACTCATTAAATGGGGATACTGAAGTTACTAATTAACAGAAGAATATGTTGCGACTTTTTTGTGACATAATCCCTTTGATGTGTTTATCATGAAGTTTGAAATTGATTCTGTTTTATTCAATCAATCAGAAGTTGTTGCAGTTGCAATATTGGCTTTAGTTTGTAAATATTTCAAACTAAGAAGCTATTTGTGTATTTGCTTAACACAACTTCCTTAACTGTTTATGTGATCATAAACTGCTACATTCTTTTTGTGCAGACTCAGAAGATGAACACGAAGATTGAGTAAAACAGCAAAATCATTATTTAAACACAAGGCAAAGGTGAATTTAATATAGTGGCGAATTGTATCTCATCCTAGACATAATGAAAAATTTCACTTTATTTATGTTAGTACAAAAGTTGCTTGAAATCAATTATGTTTATTGGCCTTTTTCACGGTCCTTAGAGGGAAATGGTGTTTGGTTTTATTTCTTGCAGATGACTTGGTTAGCTCCAAAAGTTTTATGTGCCTTTGCCCAGAATGTTAATCATTTTCAAATGTTGATTCAAATTGGAGGGAATTGTATTTATACCAATTCGAGAGTAGACTAAGGAGCTGATTTAAAGGGAAGCAGATTGAGAGAATTTTCAATCTTCTAAATTATTGGGCTATGCAGCACAACCAGAAGTTCAGTTCTGCTGCATGCCATTTTGCTATAATGGATTTGTCCCTCAATATTCATTCAAAATTTACAGTTAAAATTTTGAAGGACTGTGACCATTAATGTACTATTTCTTGCACTAATTTTATCCTCGGCTCCCATGCATCTGGAAAACGAAATTGTTCTCCTTGATTTGCACAAATTTCAGGTGTCTTTTAAAACTTAATGTTGATTTTATTTTAATTTATTTAAAAAAAGAGAAGGAAATATCTGTCTATTCATAACATATGTGAATATTTCATCCTTTATATCATATCCAAAGGATGCACTTGTATCTATTGCTACAATCACTAACTGTCAACTGTCAATGTACATCCACACGTTGTCATTGTTTACCGTTTGTCGGTAAAAATTTTCGGCCACCATTGACAATTGGCGCCTTGTTTCTTTTATGCAATTCTTTGTGATTCTGTTTTATGCATCTTTCTGTTCTAGGTTGTTGTTTGTTGGTACTTGGGAGAGTGTGTGAATATAAAGTGTCAAAACTTTCTAAGATGTGTTTAGGTCGATCACAAGGTCCAAATTATATGATCTAGTCCAAATACAAAGTGATCTAAAAGCTTCAAACAGTTGGAAAGATCAGATCAAAGAATCATTGGATGACATCGTCATAACTATGATGTCAGACTGATGAGATCATCTTTTTAACCATAATCCACATGATTTGGGATGGAATTTTTTAGATAGATACAACCATATGAAGTAGTTTTACATGTAATTAATCATAAAATTTTAATTAATTAAAAAAAATATAATATTTTCTCTCTCTTTCATAATCATAATTTTTTTATGAATTTAATTAAAAAATTAAAATTAAAATAAATTTAAATTAAATTAATTTTTTTCCTATTCTTATTCATTGTTTCTAAAAATGTTGATATAAGGTTGTTTTCATGTAAGAATTCCTCCTTGGGATGAATATGTTTTAGAAGGACACCTAATTAAGAAAAGTGATTGGAGAAAAATGTGTTTGGAGGATCAATTAAGAAGTGATTAAATCTAAGCAAGTCATGTTTATTACGGTTTTGATGATTATAACTATGATTTTGATGTTTTTGATTATGATAACTCATCTACTTGTGAAGATGAAACTTGACTCAAAGATAAGCAAGTATTTCAAGCGGTCAAAGATGCAGAAGATAGTTTGTTCAGGCTCTTCCTTTGAATAAAGCAGAAGAGTTGGAGTTTTATGATTACTATTGATTTTCTCTAAAGTTGGCTTTCAATTTAAAGATATCTCAAGTCTTGACTCAAATAAGTGCTTATATGATCGGTGTGTTCGGAAAAGTCTTCAAGTTTCAGAGTGTGAAAAAGAGAAAGTGTGAAAGCTCGCATGATCGTGATGAGTGATAAGTGTTTTGCAAAAATAAAAAATAAAAAGAGTTTTTGTAAACTATTATGACTAAATCACACAATCACTAAAATAATTTTTAAATTCTCTATTTCATAAAAAAAAAACTCAAAAATATTTTGGAGCCTAGCCGGATACATTAGAAACTATTATAATGATTATGACACATATTTTGAATTGTTCAATATTATGGTTTTGATGTTTTTGATTATGACAACTCATCCTTGATGACAACTTGTGAAGATAAAACTTGACTCAAAGATAAGCAAGTATTTCAAGTGGTCAAAGATGCAGAAGATAGTTTATTGAGGCTCTTCCTCCGAATAAAGTAGAAGAGTTAGGATTTTATGATCACTATTGATTTCCTCTAAAGTTGAATTTCAACTTAAAGATATCTCAAGTCTTATATCCAAGAAGACTCAAGCAAGTGCTTATATGATCGGTGTGTTCTGAAAAGTCTTCAAGTTTCAGCGTGTGAAAAAAAGAAAGTGTGAAAGCTCGCATGATCGTGATGAGTGATAAGTGTTTTGTAAAAATAAAAAAGAGTTTTTGTAAACTATTATGGCTAAATCACACACTCACTAACATTATTTTTAAATTATCTATTTCATAAAGAAAATAACCCAAAAATGTTTTGAAGCCTAGCCGAATGCATTGGAAACTATTATAATGATTATGACACATATTTTGAATTGTTCAATAGATCGGAACATATTCTCAATCGATTAGATAAGAGAAAATTTGGTCCATAATTGATTGTGACATTTTTATGAAGGGCAATGTCTCTCTATCAAATATTTCTAAAATGAGAAATTATAATCGATTATTTAGTGCATCCAATCGATTAGAATAATGACCTAATTGATTGGGCCATTAATTTTTCCCGTGAATACTTTTTTATTTTACCCCAACCTTTGGCCTTTAATAGAGGCATACACCTTCACTCCTTCACATCCAGAACGCGAGGCATCTCACTCTCCCCACTCTCCTTAAAATATGAAAGCGTAAATTTCTAAATTCACCAAGAGTGCGTTTTCTCTTGAATGAATATTTCTTCTTAAGGAAGTGTTTGGTTGGGTTCAAAGATAAACCTCGTTAAAAGCTTTAATTAAGGGATTTAGAATTAAGTCGATATTTGGTTCGTGAGATGAGCCACTTAAGGAAAATGTCACTTTCTGGGTTCTTGAAGATAACCAGTGAAAAATATTTTCTTTGATTCTTGAGTTCAGCCTGATGTAAAATCTCTATTTGGTTCGAGATCAGTCTGATGTAAAATCTCGGTTTGATTCGTGTCCAACCCGTGTAAAATCCATGTTCAGTTTGAAGGATATCCATTCAAAACTTCGTATTAGTTCAAGATAAGTCTGTATAAAATTTCGATTTATCTTAGAGACTAATCACTTGAAGTTATGTTCATGTTTGGAAGGAAGACTCATTGCTTTTGTCAATTGTTTGTAGTTTGGTTGGAGGTTAACTTGGATTTTCATTTATTCTTGTATAAAGGGACTCGTGAGCTTAATCTACTAAAAACTAATAAACACTATTGGATACTTTCACAATCAATTCTTACAAATGTTTTAAACTCCAAAATTGAAAGAAATTTAGTTTTAAATTGTAATTTTTCAAACTCCCACAATTCACCTCTCTTATGTGAACAACCACAACCTAGATACTCTTTTATTCATCAAGAAATTGAATATGAAATTTTAAAAACCTTTTTGATGCATTGTGATTCTCTACATCCATTTCCAAAGTTCTCAAGATTTCGTCTCAATTCCATGTTGTCTCAACTTTTTCCAAACCTCCATTAGCTTATGTTACACCTGGAGAGCCTTCTCTATGCTCTACCGCACCTCGAAATGGTAATACACCAGTTTCCTGCAAGTTGATCCTCCCTTGTGAATTATTCCACACAAGATGTCAAATAGTAACAGGTCAAAACCAGTAACTGAGCTATATGAGAAATACACTCTACATATGTTCAAAGTTGCTTTATGTATTTTTTATAATTTGAGGCAAGGTCTTCTCCGTAGAGGAAGTTTTCCTCAAACTTTGTTTTTGTTGTTGATTATGATATTGTTGTTTGAATTTACTTTGTGACATATTCATCAATCGAGTCAAGCTCTCCTCCATAATGGAAGTATTACTTGGAGGTTATTATTGAAGTTGATTCTAATATTGTTCTTTGAAGTTACTATCCAACATCTTCAAAAATTAAGTCAAGGTTTTTTCTATAACAAAAGGTTTCCTTGTTTGTTGTTGGTGGTGATGTTGTTTTCCTTTAATGCATATTTACTATTGACTATTATTTCATTCAAAATCGAGTTAGTCTTTCCATCCTAGATTATATGTAATGGAGTAATAATTGTTCCTCTTATCCTATATAATTGGCTTATTCATCTACGAAGCCTTAAAAATTGAATTAGTCATTGTTATATATGTGATTCTACACACAAGAGATTGATGGAGACTGAATTGTGGGCTTTAGAAAGACGATAGTTTGAAAATATTTCGTTATTATTTTAAGAGTTTAAAACCATTTTCAAAAAGTTTTTGACAAATAGCAGCGAAAAGTAAAAGTTAAGGGTAAGAGAAATGATATTAAAGATTTATACAGGTTTAGTCAAGAAGACTTAATCCTTTTTCAAATATTTGATCTTGAGGGTATCCAGTAAACTCTAGAACCCCCTTATACAAAGAAAAATGAAGTTTCAGGCTAACTTACAACCAAACAATGAATAATGAAGATAAATGGTTAGTCTTTCTTCCAAATATGAACTAGTGAAGAGAAGAAATTAGTCCTCTTTCCAAACACATAATTAAAGCGATTAGTCCCCAAGCTAAACCGATATTTTTTACGGACTTATCCCGAACCAAGGTGAGCTTTTAAACTAGGATAAACTCACGAACCGAATTGAGGTTTTAACCAGGCTAATCAAGAACCAAGATGAAATTTTAAACTAGGCTTATCTAGAATCAAAGTGAGCTTTTAAACCATGCTTAACTCACTAGCCAAATTAGAATTTTGAATCGGGTTGATCATGAACCAAAGGAAGCTTTTAAACCAGTATGAGCTTACGAACCGAACCCGCGACTTAAAAACTAAATCCCCAAATCAAATCTTTTAAAGGTTTTAGCTTTTAACCCAAACAAAAACTCCCTTAAGGGCAAGTTATTCATCCAATAAAAAAACACTCCTTAGGGAATTTACAATAATATCCCTTCCAAAT